CAGCACTCAGGAGCCTGCCCGGAGGCGCAGCGGGACCGGGGTAGGCCCCGTCCTGCCCTCCTTCACCCCAGTGTCACGGAGCCGGGTGACAGAGCCTCCCCCCCCGCCGCCCTCCACCGCGGGCCGCCCCCTCACCTGTTGATGAAGCCGTAACCGTTCCTCACGTTGAACCATTTGACAGTGCCCAAAACCTTCGTTGCTGGGGAAAGGGAGGAAGAGGAGGAGGAGGAGGAAGGGAGGAAGAAGAGGAAGAAGAAGAAGAGGCGGCGGCGTCAGGGCGGCACGTGGCGGGGCGGCGCGCACAAAGGCCCCGCGTGGCGGACATCTTGGGCCTCCCCGCCCCCACCCCCGCCGGCACGCGGGGCCCGGCGGCGCGCGCGGCGGGAGGAGGAGGAGGAGTAAGAGGAGGAGGAAGGCGTTGGGCGCCCCAACGGCCGCGCGCGCGCCCGCTCGCCCCCGCCTCATCCTCCGGCCGCGCGCGCGCGCGCGCACGCGCCGCCCCTCAGCGATGGCGGGCCCGGCGTGTGAGGGAAAGAGGGGGGTGGGTGCTCGCGCCTCCGCTTCCCTCAAACCCCCCCCCCACCACCACCATCAACCGCCCCTCGTCCCCTCACCGATGACCTTCTTGTCCCCGCCGGCGGGAGGAGCCGCCGAGGCCAGGCCGCTGCCCCCGTTCCCGGTGCCGCCGTTAGGTTTGGAATCGGCGGTGGCGGCGGGGGGGGCCGCCGCGGGGACGGGGGCGGCAGGCGGTTGGGTCTCGGCCTCGCTGCTCATGGCGGCGGCTGCTCGGTGCGGACGGTGGTGGTAACCGGCTGTTTGCGCCGCCTCCCGCGGTGTGATGGTGACTGCGGCCGGCCGTGGGGGGGGGGGGGGGGCTACTCCCTGCTCCGGGCTCGCTGAGCTCCGCTCTCCGCTCCCGAGACCGATCGAACTGGCCACAATGGCGGCCCGCACCGGCTAGCCACCCCGCGAGCCCCGCCCGCGCGACACACCATTCGCCGCTCGAGACGCCCGTTAAGCTCCGAGAGAACCCATTGGCTCGCACCCTCCCGGCCACCGCCCCTCGCCCAACGCCTATTGGCTGAGCCTCCTGCCTTTCCTCAGCAGCGCGCGCCCATTGGCTGCTGAGGCCGCCGCTGCCAGGCTCCCTTTTCTTACCGGCCAACCCGGAGTCCCCACCCCCGCGCTCTGATTGGCCGCCGCCGTCGCTCCCGCCCCACAACGGGCACGACCGGGGCAGGGCGCGCTCCATGTGGCGGCGGTTCCGGGGGCTCCCCGGCCGCTCCCCGCTCGCGGTACCGCGAGGCCCGCAGCGGCCGTAACCGACGGCAGGAGCCCGCGACCGTTAACGGCAGCGGGGACCGGGCCGAGCCTCTCCGTGTCACTGAGGAACGGAGAGCCGGGCTGCAGCCCCGCTGCAGGGCTCCGTTAGAGTCCTCATTACCCTTTTCCTTCCCATCCCTTCATTCCCATACTTCCCATTCCATCCTTCCTAGTGGAGCTTCTTAGCCCCAGGGCTGGGGGAAGGCTGTGGGGCAGCTCGCCCTCCCCTGAGCTGGCCTCTTTATCGTGCTCTAGTGGAAGGTGTCCTGACCATGGCAGGGGTTGGAGCTGGATGAGTTTTAAGGTCCCTTCAACCCAAATCAGGTTGGGATTCTGTGATAAGTGAAAGGTCACCAGCAACCACCCAAGGTCTCTGGGAGCTCCACCACCTTTGCAACCAATGGGTATCCCCTTGAGATCAGCCCTTCCAGTGTCACCTCCGCATCAAATGCCCGTTTTCCCATCCCACAGTGGAGAACAGATGCCAGTTCCCCACACTGCATCATCACTGGGCGAGGGGCTTGGATGGGGCCAAGATCAAGCGACCACAACCACCAGCATGGATGTCTCACCAAGCCATCCTGGTAACTTTTCAATGGGATCTCCAACTAAGCTAATGGAGAGCCTTAAAACACAATCCCACAAGGGGTCTGCATCAGGATTATTGCCTTGATAAAGAAACTGGAATGATATCAAAACTGGATGATGCTCAGGAAATCAACTGGAAAATCACTCTTATAATGGTCTATCCATGTGAGAGAATCCAGAGGAGAAAACTGCACATCTCAAATCCATCATCAGCTCTACAGCAGGAGATTCCAGGATGTGCTATGTAAAGCATAACTGAAGGGGACTTCATCATGGGGGAGTTCAACCCAAAAACGTGGTCTTTGAGGAAGCTTTCACCCAGCAGCTAAGGCACAGCAAGGTCCATCAGCTGGGAAGCTGGAACTCTGCACATCAGGCGTCAAAGAGAAACACTCACAGGATATAATTAGCTCTTGGAACAGCTTTCAAAGAGGTTGTAATGGATTTGCTGCTGCTAATTACTTTGGGGAAGCTCTGTGACCCTGCTATGCTGACACATACTGTAGGCTGTGAAAGTGCTGCTGAGCCTGGGCCCCAAAAACAACCTGGTTTCACTGGTGAAGAAGCCTAGTGAATCTGGGTACCCACAGCCAGACCCACAACGCTGCAGCAGAGCCCCCCATAGCCAAGCTCCTACCTTAGCCCTGCAGGGAAGAGCCATCAGGACCCGTTTCCTGAGCAGCTGAGTTTCCCTCTTTTTGGTCACCTCTGCCTCAGAGCTGACATCTGGCTCCAGGTTTCTCTTCCCTATTAGGAATCTTCTACCCTCAGCTCACAGGAGAGAGCCCTCTGCAGCCTTTTGGGGGCTGGAGAGGAAAGGGAAGGTGTGCTTTGTGTTTCTTTCATCACTTGGCATTCAGCAGGTGCAAGAGGGTGGGATGATGATGCCTCAGGGTGGGAGAAGTGAGCACGAGTCCCCAGCAGATAGATGACACTGGTTTCTGAGATAAGAAAGTCATGTTTCCCACAAACCTGCTGCCTCAGTCACACTCACTGTAACCACACAGGATAAGGAGCCCCGGTTTCTACTCCTACAGCACAGTCATTCTCTGCTTCCCAGCCCAAAGCCCTGCTCCAACACCCTTGTAGCACCCAGGTGAATGTCTGTAACATCCATAGCACAGAACAGCCCCATGGCCCAGTGCTGCTGTGTGCCATGGAGGTTCTACAAACACTTGTTCACAACATAACTCACCTCAGAGCCCAGCAAACTCAGGTCATCACAGAATCCAGCCTGGGTTGTGCTGGAAGGGACCTTAAAGCTCATCCAGCTCCAACCCCTGCCATGGGCAGGGACCCCTTCCACTGGAGCAGCTTGCTCCAAGCCCCTGTGTCCAACCTGGCCTTGAGCACTGCCAGGGATGGGGCAGCCACAGCTTCTCTGGGCACCCTGTGCCAGCGCCTCAGCACCCTCACAGGGAAGAGCTTCTGCCTAAGAGCTCAGCTCAGTCTCCCCTCGGGCAGGTTCAAGCCATTCCCCTTGGCCTGTCCCTCCAGGCCCTTGTCCCAAGCCCCTCTCCAGCTTTCCTGCAGCCCCTTTAGGCACTGGAGCTGCTCTCAGGTCTCCCCTTCAGGAGCCTTCTCTTCTCCAGGCTGCCCCAGCCCAGCTCTCTCAGCCTGGCTCCAGAGCAGAGCTGCTCCAGCCCTCGCAGCATCTCCATGGCCTCCTCTGGACTGGTTCCAACAGTTCCACGTCCTTCTTGTGCTGTTGCCCCAGAGCTGAACACAGGATGCAGGGGGTGTCTGTGCCACACCAGTTTCTTGTGCTTCAGTAAGGCTGCATGTAGAAAGGTTCTGGTGATTCCCAAGGTGCCACGATCCTCTGCCAGGCAGCCTTACCTGCTGAGTAAAGCAGCTGGTGTAGCTCAGCATTGCCATGCTCTGCCACGCTGCTTCCATCCCTTCTTGCCCATTTGCAAAGCTCCTCAACAGCACATGCAGTAAGTGTTCCCTGCTGAACCAGCCTGGGAATGGCGCTCGTTGCTGAAGATGCGATCGCCCTCCTCTCCTGAAGAACCTGTTCCCAAGCACGTTCACTGATGTGCACTGCACACGTATTTAACAAAACTCTTTATTTACACTTCAAAATGTAAAAAAACAAAATAGATGCCAAGTACTAAATAATTTCAGGAGAATATCAAGAGCCAAGTGCTTGGACCTGGGCTGCGGGGAGGACTGGGGCAGTGGGGAACTGGCTGGAGTTGGAACAGCATGGAGCCAGCACAGGCCTAACCACCAGCGATGGATGGAACACTGAAACAAAGCAGAAACAGACCCGAAATGCTGGACAGTCCTTCCCAACTCATCCTACAACAGCAAGACTGGGCAGTGACACTGGGTGATGCTACAGCAGTTTGCAAGCGAGTGCTACTTGCTCAGGTCAACCCTGAGCTAGAAAACCCAGGAGAAGTCCTGCATCTCCACACCAGGCAGATGCACCTACATATGAACTTAAAATCTATCTGGTTTGGAAGGATCTTGACAAGTAACTTACTCAGTTGTCTTGACATTGGGCAAGACAAATGCCCTTCTTGCCTACAGGAAGCTGAGAAGCAGCATGCTGCAGAAAGGCAGTTCCAAAGGCCTGGCTGGGGAAGTAAGCAAGGTAGCACCAGCATCATACCTAGAAATTAAAAGCTTCTAGTGTCAAGTTGGATGTTGGCCATAGATCACATACTCCAAAATGAAATCATCAACAAACCTAAAGGGGACCTGACCCATGTGCACGGGTCTGCCCATCTGCAGAAAGCCTATTAACAAGGTTGTCCCCGCCTTCAAAAGCCTATAAATGTCACCAGAAGCACCAGGGAAATGAGGGAATGATTACATCCCCTGTTGCCACTTCATCGAACAGGAGGAGCACCCAAGAGCCTGAAGTGCTGCAGATCTGTAAGACTGTTATGGAAGCACAGATGCATCTTCATGGGCAATTCCAGATGTCTCTGGGAATCATGTAATGGAAGGTCAAAAACTGTGGGATTTGCTGTTGTCAGTGCCTAACTGTAGGAATTGGGAAAAATCAGCAACCAAAAGGCTAATCCAGCAGATTTTTGACAAGCTGCAGCCTGACACATTGAAATGTAGACAGATTTGTTCAAATGCTCGTGTTTTTGATGGTAAAGTAGGCGGACAAATGGAAACAGAACATTGTACACCAGCTCTGTCTGGAACCTATTGGTTTAACCAGAGTAAAGCCATAGTGAATGCTGGAAACATCTCCCTCCAGATGAGCACGTGGCATTTTTTCGAGTGAAGGTTCTATCTAACATGGTAATTCCCTGATTCTTCAGTGGTGGCAGCTCTGTGGCTGCACTGAGCAGGGAGACTTAAATCCACTCTTTCTCCTCTCTTCTTGACCTATGCCTGCTCTGCTTCCTGTTAACGATCAGTTCACCAACCTGCAGGCCAAAGTGAAGCCCTCACCCCTTAAGACTCCTTGGGTAACAACAGCAGATTCCTGCTGCAGTTCCCTTTCATCCACTGGTTTCTAAAGTGGAGGCTTCAAGGCAGCTTAACCCCATTCCACAACCCCACCTTCCCCATGACTGCAGCTGCAAAATCCTATCCCTCCAGCACTGCCTTTGGTGTCTGTGTAGCTCAGAGGGAAGCCAGTTCAGGGAGTTGAGCTGGCAAATAACTAAGCAGTTAGAGAAGCCCTTTCTGGTGTTTCACTGAGCTGAGTCAGCTCTCACCAATGAATGTGAAAATAAGAGGACAGGAAGGAGCAGGGCAGCCCAGAGTGCAACTGCACTGGGTGCCTGTGAACACAGACTTACCACGTTTCTGTTCCATTGTTTCTACATTTCCCCACACTGAGAGATCACAACTGGCAGCTTGGGTTTGTTATTGGGACCTGTAGGCACGTTCTGGGGATAAAGAAAGATATAACCTTAAAACTTCTGAAAGCACAAAGCCAACGAGCAACAGGTACCTGAAAATTGGCTGAGAGATGCCTGTACAACATCAGGAACAGGGATGTTGGGACACAGCTCTGTGTGACGTGGAAGCGCTGTTATGCATTTTGGCATCAGCCATAAGCTGATGTGCAGAGGTTTGGGATACAGACCACAGCCTGATCCTTTGAATGGGAGGGAAGGAACAGAGCAAAACTAGGGGAGCTCCTCCTGAGATACAGCCAGCATCATGTCACTTGAGACTTAAGTCTTTACAGTTACTAATTACAGTTCCAATGAGCAAAACTAAACTGTATTGTACAGAAAGTCAACCTACACATGAGCCAGTCACAAGAAGCCCCCCTGAACCCCTCGTTCTGCTGGACTCTGCTCCTTCATGAGTCTCCTTTCCTTTACCTTGCCCCTCACTGCAGCAGTGCACAAAGCAGACACACCACCAGTGCTCCTGGTGAAGAGAACTAGCAACACATGCACTGTATCATGCTGTAGAGCTCCCTATATGTGGCCTTTTCTCAGCACCCAGCAGCTCTTGTGTTTGCCCTGCTTTTAGCTTTAGCCTAAAGGCCCTTGAGCACCTTATCCCAGGTGTGTGCCATGAAACTGGGTGTCAGAACTCTCTGCTGTTTGTTAAATCCACTCATCTGGCTGCCATGACACCCAGTCACAACACTGGGAGCAACCTCCAGCCCTGAGCATCTTCAGACTCCTGAAAGCCCATCAGAAGAGGGGTTGAATTTCTCCTATTAAACATGCTGATCACAGATCAGCAGAACTGATGAGTTAGCACCCAATGAATAATCCCAGGCAATGGCACAGAAGTGATCTGCTTTACACTCTTGTCTGAGCTGCTGCTGGAACAGCTTTTTAATTCAGCTTCCCGAACAAATGCAAAGCATTGCAAATAAAGCCACCAGAACACAATCCCTGCTCACAGACCAACCAGCAGCCACGAGAGCAGAGCCTTTCTAAAGCCAATCTCTATGACAGCTTTTGCCTCCACAGATTTCCTGCTATTCTAGAACGATGACAATCAATAATACCAGTTATCAGCACTGGTATTCCCTGATATCCTGTAAACAGGCAGTGGGAGAGAACAGAACAACCCTTGTTAATCCTCTACATGACTTTCCAACATGGACATTCACAGAGAAATAGGTGAAGCCAACTTACCTCAATTTTTCTCATGACCAACAGCCCATCAACAATTTTACCTAGAATGAGAAAATTCATTCACTTCAATAAGGCCATTTTTCCCCTTTGCTCCCCCCAGCTCATCACAGGTACATGTGGTTTTGTTCCCAAAGGAAAGCCTTGTGCAGTGTATTGGGCACTTCAGGGTTTGCTGCCCATCTCTAAACTGACAAAGGGAACGATCCCTCTTAACACATCTTCCACGTTCAAAACAGATCAAGACCCCATAGCAGGGGTGGCAGATGTAGGTTTTGAGACCCACTACCACCATGAACTCCCTCTATCAACACCACCCTGGTAATGATGCAAAACCATCAATGAACAATATCAGTGTTACTTAAGAATTGGAGGTAGTAGTAAGTAGAACTTCAGCTTAAATGCTGAGATCCCACAGCTCATGTGGCAGTACATGGGCAGTCAGCAGTTGGGGTTTCATGGAATTACTATATAAAAACTGCTGAAAGGTCAGGGCTCTCTGGCAGTGGAAAGGTTTCTCTCCACTTATCCGTCTGCACTGCCACAAGGATTTGTGTAGTAATGTGACAAAAGGAGCCAAGGTGAGAGCAGAGCAGCCCTACGGAGAAGGACTTGGGGGTGCTGGTCGATGAGAAAATGAACATAAGCTGGCTTCAGTGTGTGCTTGCAGCCCAGAAAGCAACCGTATCCTGGGCTGCATCAAGAGGAGCATGAGCAGCAGGTCCAAGGAGGTGATCCTGCCCCTTTACTCTGCTCTTGTGAGACCTCACTTGGAGCATGGTGTGTAGTTCTGGTGTCCTCAACATAAAAAGGACATGGAGCTGTTGGAACAAGTCCAGAGGAGGCCACGAGGATGCTCAGGGACTGGAGCAGCTCCCATATGAAGACAGGCTGAGAAAGTTGGGGCTGTTCAGCCTGGAGAAGAGAAGCTGCGTGGAGACCTCAGAGCAGCTTCCAGTATCAGAAGGGGGGCTATAGGGATGCTGGGGATGGACTCTTCATTAGGGACTGCAGTGACAGGACAAGGGGTAATGGGTTAAAACTGAAACTGGGGAAGTTTAAATTGGATATAAGGAAGAAGCTCTTTACTGTCAGGGTGCTGAGGCACTGGAATGGGTTGCCCAGGGAGGCTGTGAATGCTCCATCCCTGGCAGTGTTCAAGGCCAGGTTGGACGAAGCCTTGGGTGCCATGGTTTAGTGTGAGGTTCCCTGCCCATGGCAGGGGGTTGGAACTGGATGAGCTTAAGGTCCTTTCCAACCCAAACTGCTCTATGATTCTACGAACTGATCTGGATTAAAGCTAAACTGGGAAAAATCCCATTTCATTTCCTCAGTGACCCATCTCAGCACCTGTACAGACACCTCCACCAGCACAGAGCAGGGGGAAGGACACACAGCTCCAGGCTCATGGTGAGTACTCACCAAACACGACGTGTTTCCCATCCAACCAGTCACATTTGGAGCATGTAATGAAAAACTGGCAGCCATTGGTACTGGGACCACTGTTTGCCTGGGGGTGAGAATGGCAAAACACAAAAAGGGCACAATTTAAGAGCTCTCAAAACTGAAGGCAGATACATCTCACATAGAGAAAAGCTGCTGCTCTAGGCCTAGCTTATTGCTACACAAACCAAGGGAAGCAAGACAGACATCTGCAGGATGGTACCCTGTGCTGGGACATGCCAAACCACCAAGTCTGGTCATGCCAGTGACCAGAGCAGCCTTTTATTGTCATTCTACAAAGGCACACTCAGCATAAGACTGCACTGAAATCTGGGCTCTACAGCTTGCTCCTGAAAACAGGCTGAACTCTTTGGTGATCAGTACTTACTGGGTGCAGTATTGTCCTGGGGAACACTGAAAGCCAGGAACCAGGGCAGATATTACAGCCTGTTCCTGTGCTGACAGGTCAGCTAGGCAAGTTTTGCAGCTGCAGGACTGCACAGGATATGGTCACACTGGACTTTTCCTTATTGTTAACCAGCTTTGGAAGGATCCAGCTGGGATGCACCATGGTTTGGCTCAGCAGAATGACTCCAGCGCCATGCCACTTGAACACAAAGCTGGTGACACCAGTGAGGATCCCTCCTCCCACACCACAGTACACTGGTGGCTGAGCTGTGTCGTGACACCTCTAAAAAGGCCATGTTTTGAACTGGATGAATAGCTAATCCAAATGGTGAATGCCCAAAGCAAGTGGTTTTAAGGGCAGGGCAGTTGGAGGAGGTGGGGAAGAAGCTGCTGTGAAGCCCTGGCTCCACTTGCTTTCTATCCCAGAAGTCAGGGTATTGTTCCTACCAGACAAGGTGCAATGGTTGCAGTTTTTCCTACAATGCTGAACAGGAAGCATATGTTATAAAAGATACCATGGTAACACTGCTGCTGCTTTGAACCTCCCAGATCTATTTGGACCTTGGATCCAGTGGTGGTGATTTCTGTTGTCTGACAAATAACTTTATACACTTAGGAAAAGAGCACAACGTACCAAAAGCTTTTTAGTCTTATGAAGCCATTATGTCATACTCACCATAGAGAGCAGCCCAGGAGCAGAATGTTTCAGCTTGAAGTTTTCATCTGCAAAGGGACCCCTGTATATACTAGCTACACCAGTGCCGTCTCCCTGCACGAAAGAGGTGCCCAGTCAGCCACAGCCTTTGTTCTGCAGCAACTGCTACAGAACAATTCAATTTAAACATTACATTTAAAATCCCCAAGAAAAAGAACAAGGTTAAACTCAGCCTAAAACAGAAGTTGTCCTGCCAGTTACATGCACCAGCTGTGAACACATCCCATGTTTCATTTCTGAAGAGGAACTCCTTTCTAACTGCACAGAACATCATTTGCCATTCGTATGTTGGCAGAAACCCACAGTGATGGTAAGGATTAAGCCCAAGCCTCCCAGAGTGGGATGGAAGGTTTAGATTACTTGGTACAGACACAGGTGGACTTGGCATGGAAAAGGAAAGGAGACAAGCATGGGCTGGGGTGATAAGGAAAGCAGAAGTGGTTGTGTGGACAAAGTGAGCTGATGCTGTGCTTACTTATTTCACCTTCTTTTCTGTGACTGCTGTGAACAGGGAAGTGATCTCCATGCAGCAAGGGCAGTTGCTAAAATAGAGGTTTGCTAATTTTTGCTGTACTTTCTACTATGTCCAGACATCCTGTACTTAACAACGAGCCCCAGCACTCACATCCCAAGACACTGCTAAATTAAAGCAGCAAGGCCCACACCAGCTGCAGAATGCAGGCTCTGACTGCTCAGTTTGTAACCTTGCAGAAGCCCCAGCATGGCTCACATAAGACACATAACCTGTGGGACTGCTGAAAGGAGCCTGCCTTTTGGTCCAGTGTTGCACACACTCCTGTGTGATGCCTTCAATAAACTGGCCATAAAGATGCTGCAGTGAGGAACTCTTCAGGGAAGGGTGCAGAGGCAGTGTGAACAGGTATCTCTGGCACAGTCAGTTTAACTTACTCTCCTGACAGTGATTCCCATTTCTGGGTTGATTTTCCCTTTCTTTGTCACTTCAGCACCATTTCTTCTGCTTTGCTGCAGTCTGTCTCCCTGCTTTACGTATATGCTCTTTCTTAAGCCAAACTTAACAAGAAAGTAACATATCATGTGCAGCTCCACATCTTTTGCTCTGCTTGCCTCATCCTTGCTTCTTTTCCTCCTATTCTCTGCGGAACTGTGAGCTGAAACAGCAACACATCCCCAGTCTGTACCCTATCTTAGTGGTCAATGTGACCATTCTTGCTCCCCAAGTGGCTTTGTAACAAGTGTAATTCATAAATGGCAAACACTGGTGCTATCTGTGTTATTGCTGAGCTTCAGAGGCAGTAACAAAGCCCAGTGGGACATTTGAGCAGTATCACAGTTAGCGAGTACCTGGAAGTCTGGTGCCATCTGTGCCGTCAGTTCTCTCAGTGGCTTTCATACAACCAAGTTTTACACATTTTGTATTAAGAAAGCTTTGTCACCTTCCTCCTATTTTGAAAAAATATTCCAGAAATGGAATCATTTCACTGGGTCTAAGGACAGCAAAGAGACCCTGTGGTCCTCCAGCCTTCCCCATACACACTGCTTACTCCAGAATGATCACCAGTCATTTCTACTTGGCCTACAGACCAGAAGTCTTTCCTATTTAGAGACAATTCACTAACTAAAAAAGGCCATTTTGATTTAATCTCCTGCATAAGATACTTGGTGCTGTATTCAGGGACTCTCTGCACAAGGCTAATAGACATTTGCAGGGCACCTTGCTTGGGAGGACAGGAGAAGAGGGAAGGACAACAAGGTAAGAAAAGACCTTTGCAAGTTTGAGAAGCCTCTGGCTGTACTGCCATGCTTTCTTAGACAGGAAATAGTTTAGGAAGGAGAAGGTATGGGTCCTTTCCAACCCTAACTATTCTGTGATTCATCCAAGACTCCAGATTTGCTTTTGAGTACATTACATCTCGTTGCAGTAGATGGCAGCAATGCTATGAGGAAACCTCCCATTACTCAAGAGAGCCAACATAACCCACTGATGAGCACAGAACAGTTACATGTTAGAGCATGCAGGGAAAGTACAAAGGTAACACAGGGTACGTACGTTTACAAAGTCCCCTCCTTGAATCATGAAATCCTTTATTACCCTAAGGAAGTAAAACAAGACTTAGTTCTCAGTACACAAGTGGCTCAAAAAGCTTTGCATGTGGTAAAAAGGAGTTGTGCCCAGCAGCACAATGAAAACTATCAGGGTCTGGGAATGATACAGTCTAAAATCTACAATAAATGTTAACTACTGGTCACCATCAGGTCATGTGGGACCTGTTGCTGTTCAACCAGCAATAGTGATTGGGTGACAGATGCCAGAAAGTTCTCTCTGACCATTGATCTTATTGTACACATCAAAGAGCAACCCAAGCCCCTCAAAGCTACAGAAGAACAGTATTAGCCATGACCTACAAATGCCTCCCAGACCAATAATACCTTGAGACACATCTCAAAACCACATCTAATTCAAACTGCTATTTTAATGTCTAAATAAAAGCAAATGAATTACCTGTGGAAAGTGCTTCCTTTATAACCTATAGGGACACCATCTTTCCTGCAAGGAAATAAAAAGAATCATTGCAACTTACTGGATCTCCAAACACAAAACCCTCCCAGGAACTGAGAGTCCCAAAGGGTTGCAAACACATTAGTATCTGCCTTGATACACAACCCAGTGCTGCAGCCTGGCTCTGAGCTACTGCAAAAGGAAATCTCAGGTGGGCTGTGCACATTAAACGACCTGGTTCCCTAAACTTCCACATCATCATTTCATGGGATCCCTTTGCAATCTGCACAATAAGGAGGTGGGGTTTGCAGACAGAGGTTTTTTAGAGCAACCTGAACACAAAGTCATGCCCAAAATGGGAAGGCTGCCATCTCTGTGACTGCCTCAGCCCATCACAGTTCCATCAGGTTTCGTTTTGTACTCATGTACAAAGAAAAACCTCCAAGTGAGCCTTCTTTCTACTCATCCAGCCCTGTTTCTCCACATATGCCATGTAAAAGGCCACTTTACGCCACTTACCTGAATTCACCTGTACAAAATTGCCTGGAAAACAAGAGAGCAGAGTGTGAGAAACATCTGAACTCTGAGGACAGAGCAATGCATTCAACAAACATGCACTGACTGCTGTACAGGACATACAGGGACAGGACAAGGGGAATGGCTTGAACCTGCCCATGGGGAGACTGAGCTGAGCTCTTAGGCAGAAGCTCTTCCCTGTGAGGGTGCTGAGGCGCTGGCACAGGGTGCCCAGAGAAGCTGTGGCTGCCCCATCCCTGGCAGTGCTCAAGGCCAGGTTGGACACAGGGGCTTGGAGCAAGCTGCTCCAGTGGAAGGGGTCCCTGCCCATGGCAGGGGTAGGAGCTGGAGGAGCTTTAGGGTCCCTTCAATCCAAACCAGTCTGGAATTCTATGACTCCCCTTACTGCATCAGGGATATCCCCAGTGAAAGGGAACCAGCAGTAACTTCTCCCCACTCCCTCTTCCAAAGAGCCTCTGAGCCCTCTGTAATGGATGAGATCAGATATTTAACACCAGGGTTGCAAGAGACAGTGAATGTGGAGCAGGCACCATGTCTCACAGCAAACAGGGTATCTCCATCCCTCCCATGGCTGCCTGAGCAGTCCACTCTTCAGTCAGTGGCAAGGGAACCAGCCAGCGAGGAGACCTCTGCCATGACACTGAGGTACTGAACGCACTGAGCATCAGGAGCTCCATGAAGGAAGCACAGAGGGATCAGAGCCCTTCAGCTCCTGGCCAGAGGGATCTGGGTGTTCCACAGTCGCTCCTCTGGGTATAAGGAGGGAAGACAGAGGAGCAAAGCAGGCACAGGGGTTTGGGGCGGGGGGACAGGGACAGAAACGTGGTCCCTCTTCCACCACAGCCATTCCTGCACCCAGGCCCCTTCCCTGCCCGCTTGGTGCCGAGCCCCAGGAACACCGCTGCTCCTCACCTGAAGTTCTCCGCAGTTTTGGGTACAACATCAGCGAACAGCTCGATCTTCATGCGGCCAACCTCCTGTGGAGACACAGCCGGCTCAATGCTTGCATTCCCCCATAGCCCTGGGACCTCCCAACACACCAAGGGCCCTGCTCCCCTGCACCCTTCCAACGCACCCCTAGTGATGCAGAGGGCTGAGCAATGTACAGGGGGGTTGTATAAGGGGGGATAAAGGGATTTTGCCTGTTTAACAGCAAGCATTGCTTGCAAATACCTGTACCATGCAGTACCAGAACAGGCGGCTATTGATAATGGGGAGGAACAGCACTTAGTTCCAGTGAAGACCAGCTTAAAGCATACCTGCTTTACAACCTCAACGAGCTCTAGGGTCTATCTGCGCATCACCAGCACCCCACAGCCTCTACGCTTCCACTCAACCCCCAGCCGGGCACCGGGTACCACCACCCCCCCCGCCGCTCCGTGCTCCCCGACAGCTCCCCCCCGGTGCCCCCGTCCCCTTCCCGGTGCTCCCGGCCCGCACCTGCCCGCCGATGGTGACATCGAAGAACACCACCGGGTTGCCGGGGTTGGACGCCAGCAGCGCCATGGCGGCCGCCTCCACCGGAACCGGAAGTGACGAAACAAGCGGCGCCGGAAGCGGCGGGGCGGGGTTCCGGTCCTCCTCCGGTTGTGTGTTTCGGGGTGTTGTTGTGGGGTGTACCCGGTAGGGCAGTGCTGTGGCGTTACTGTTGTGCTATTAGCAGGGCTGGCCTTTATGTCAGGCATTAAAGTGCCCTTATCTGAAGCCCAGGCCCCTTGATGTGCCTGTCCGTGATCCCCACAGCCGCAGGAGCGGCCCCGGGGGCACCCAGGCCCCGGCTGTGCCCCCTCTACACCAGCTCCATTCCCTTCTCTGGCCCCGCTCTAGCACCCCAAGGTCTCTCTTGTAGTGAAGGGCCCAGAGCTGAACACAGGATTCGAGGTGCAGCCTCACCAGTGCCCAGTGCAGGGGCACAATCCCTGCCCTGGCCCTGCTGCCGCACTGGTGCTGATCCAGGCCAGGATGCTGGGGGCTTCTCGGCTGCCTGGGCACAAGCTGCTCATGTTCAGCTCCATCAATCAGCACCTCCACGTCCTTTCCCATGAGCAGTTTCCAGCTGCTCTTCCCCAAGCCTGGCGCATTGCAGGGGGTTGTTGTGGCCCAAGTGCAGGATCCAGCACTGAGCCTTCTTGAACCTCATCCCATTGGCACATCCCATGGATCCAGCCTGTCCAGATCCCTCTGCAGAGCCTCCTGCCCTCCAGCAGATCAACGCTCCCACCCAACCTGGTGTCATCTGAGGGTACCCCTGGTCCCCTCATCATCATCAATGAAGGTGTCAACACTAGCCCTAATACCAAGCCCAGAGGGACACCACTAGTGACCGGTCACCAACCTGGTGTGACACCATTCACCACCACTCCTTGGGCTCAGCCATGCAGCCACTTTCACCCAGTGAACTCTCCACCTCTCCAGGCCCTAAGCAGCCAGTTGCTCCAGGAGAACAATGGCAAATGCTTTATTAAGGTCCAAACAGACAACATCTGCAGCCTTTTCATCTGGACCACCTCTGGAGCTGCAGCATTTGCTCTCCAATGAGTGCCCAGGCTTCTGCCCTGAGGCACTTGTCTCTCCTTTGAGGAGCTTACCAGTGCATCTTCCCCTGTTCACGAGTTCCCAGAGCTGCTCCCCTGCCTCTCCTCCTGCCGCTGGGAGGCTGTGGTGTCTCCAGGCGAAGCTACATTTAAGTACCCGAGCTCAGAAGGCTGACAGGGGGATAAGCAAAAGGCTGAGTCTTGGCTTTCGGCTTCTCCTTCAGGCTTTGGGTGCTGTGTGCCCTTCGGGATGCTCAGCGAATCCAGTGGGAAGCTGAAAGCAAACGTCCTCTCTTGAAGCCATTGCTTGCATTAAGGCTCCAATGCTCTTCCTCCAGCCAAGGATGGTCCTCATCTACCCCAGAACCTGCTCAGATGCTGTCCCCCTCAATAGCACCCACAGGCTGCAGCCAAACCCGCTGTGCGGGGTCTCCGGTGAGCAGAGATCAGAGCTGCAGATCCCCTCTGCCTTCCCCCTGCCTGTTTCGGCACGGATCATGGTGCTCGTGGCTACACCAGTGGAGAAATAGCTCAAGCTCCTTCCTGCCCCAAAGCCTGGGAATGGGTCCTACAGCTTCAGGCAGCAGTGGTCCTCTAAGTCTCATAACCTCATGTGTAAAGACACTCCTCCCAAAACCAAGCACCAAAAGCTGATCCTTAAACCCCACATCATTCCCTGCCATAGCTGAAGATTTTCCTTCTCCATCCCTTTCGTTTCAGAGCATTTAAAAACCACTTTTTTCCCTATATTTTGACCAACAAAGAAGAAACTCAACCTCCTTTGGAGGTGAGAGCCCAGGGTGGAGCAGCCAAAACGCTCAACTCCTCCTTTTACTCCACAGTACCTGGGATGGGGAGATGGCAACACCTTGCTCTGCAGACGGCGTTCGGAGGAGGTGATGCTCTTCCAGTCCTGGAAGGAAGAACAGAGACAGGAGGATGTGCACATCAGACCCCAAATTCCAATATACAGTCCTGGTCTTCAGCATGCCCTTGGCTCCACTGACAGCCTTCCCCATGAGCTCCAGCCCTACAGAGGTATTATGATTAGGATTTGGCCTTTGGGTCTGAATCTAAGCTGATGGAGTGGTACAACAAGCACTTTGAGCTTGCAGCTCCTCACCAACAAAGCCACTGCTTGTCTGCTGTGTTTGGTGCCCCTTTCCATTCCAACCAACGCCTCAGCCCTTCTGCTGCAGCTACAAACACCAGCTCACAAGCAGACCTCAGCTCCCACACCCTGCCTGCTGAGTGCAAGCCCTCTCGGGGTCTCACCTCCGTGTTGGAAGCGTGGATGCTCCCTGGTGCACGCTGCGAGGTGGGCACATGGAGCTTGCCCTCGTGCAGCCGCATGAGCTCCTCATCCAGGATCTTCACTCTGAGCACATCACATGTACAAGGCACAGGTTATTTCCCTTCCGACCACGCAGCCTCTACAAAGGGGCATTTGCTTTTTCAGCCACAGACCCTTTGGTCTGCACAGCCTTTGCTTGTCCAGTGGGGGCTTGGATGGGAAGAGGAGCTGATTACACCCCACAGCAATTAAAAGCTGTGCACCAGTGACTGGGCCACAGTTTAGGCTTTCCTTTGGGTTTCTTAAGAGGCATACAGCCAGAGAAGCACTGGGAAAAGGCAGGTTCCCACAGGTGTGGGCATCGTTAAGCACCTACCTGCTCTGCAGGGTGGCAATCATGGAGCGGTTGCTCCACAGGGTCTCCTCTTGGTCAGTGACCTTCTGCAGGAGCCGTCGTCTTTCCTGGAGGAGTTTCTCATTCTCAGCAGTGATCTGAGCCACCAGCATCTTCCCCTGAGCAGAGCAGCAGAAGGAGACAACCACCAGTGGTTATGCTTTGCTCTCCCCCTGTCCTCTGCAGGCCTTGGAGTGCTTTGCTGAAGGGGTCACCATCACGTATGTTAAACTCCTAGAGGTTCACACCTTGAATCCTGTGTTCAGCTCTGGGTCCCTCACTACAGGAGAGACATTGAGGTGCTGGAGCAGGGCCAGAGAAGGGAATGGAGCTGGTGCAGGGCCTGGAGCACAGGGGTGATGGGGAAGGGCTGAGGGACCTGGGGGGTTCAGATGGAGAAGAGAAGGCTCAGGGGGGACCTGATGGCTGCCTCCAACTGCCTGACAGGAGGATGGAGCCAGGAGGGGCTGGGCTCTGCTCCCAAGGAACAAGGGATGGGACAAGAGGAACCGGCCTCAAGCTGCACCAGGGCAGGTTTAGATGGAGCTGAGGAACAATTCCTGCCCCAGAGGGTGCTCAGGCATTGGAACAGGCTGCCCAGGGCAGGGCTGCAGGCACCGTCCCTGCAAGTGTTCACACCCCTTCAGTGCCATGGGGCAGTGGTGGCCTTGGCAGTGATGGGAATGGTTGGACTGGATGAGCTGAAAGGGCTTTTCCAACCTGGTTCATTCTATGAGTCTAAGTGAGACACTACTTGATGTAACATATGTCAAAACCAGGCTATTGGGTCCTCTCCCAAAATAAGATATGGCTTGGGCAGTTTCTGAATGGGATTTGAGGAGAGGGGTTCCTATGAGGGCAAACTTGGGCCAGGAATTTCCTTGGGGTCTCTTGTTCCAGCCTGAACGTGCTGGTTCCCCTTGGCACTGCTGGCTGCGGCTGTGCTCCACCACCCTCATGGTTAACAGAGCAGCCCCATTGCTAAACCCCATCTCCTTTCTCCTTCAGCTGCCCTTCCTATGGGGGAGAAGCCCTCGATGCGTTCTCTCACCCTTTCCACTTGGAGCTTTGACTCGCTGAGCTCATTTTCAAGCTGCTTGATCCTGCTGTCCCTTTGCTTCACCTCGTGGATAAAGGTCTCCTTGGCCCTGCGGATCTTGGCTTTGTGCCGGAGCTGCGTTTCATTGTACTTCCTGCAGAGGCAGAGACACAGACTTGAGGCTATCAAAGGCTTTCATGCCCTTGGGCTGGGATCAAGGCAGATGTCCTGCATTGATTCAGCCTCTTCCAAGCCTGCACTGGGAGCCTCAGCCATCTCCCAGCTCCATTTGGCAGAAGCACCCAAAGGCAGAAGGAGCACACTGACTGACTGGACCCTGTCCTCCACTGACCAGTTTGGGGTTGGTTTTTCCTTCGTTGCAATGGTTACGTTAAGTGCCAACCAAATGGAAACAGGGCGAAAAGGACCCAAAGCATTCCCAAACTGACACCCTGTTATCCCACAAGAAATCCTTGTGCCTGCCTCTCTCAGCTCATCAAACCAAACAGGGTTATAAAGTACTGGAAGTAACAGGGAAAAGGCAAGCTGTTTGTTCAGATGGGGATGTGGGTGGTTAAGGGGAATTCCTGATGGATGGGGGAAAAGGCCAAAAAAGAAGAATCCCAAACAGGAGAAAGCTGCTTCAGGGGGTGCTTCTCAAAGCTGGACACTGGGGTTGAGTATTTGTCTTTAGTGACATTTGTGATCGTTGCTCTCCCCCCCACCTTGTCCCATTTAGGCAGTGTTATTGTCTCATTCATCCACTCAGGAGAGAAGAGCAGATAAAGTCCAAACAAAGAGAACTCCCCACCATAGAAGGGATATTTGGCTCAAAACTCATGGCAAAAGGGTCCTTTGGGTTAGATCAGAAGTGCTCTGTGGAGAAAGGAGCAGCTCCAGGGAGCATCTCTGCCAGTGGCAGCCCTGAGCAGCAGCACCCATAGCCCTAATGAGGCCCCAGCTCGTGTTCTGCACTGCCTCCAGCTGCAGACACCGCAGCAGATGCAGGGCTGCTGGGTTCAGTGCTAAATGCCTTGAACAGGAGAGACCAGAGAGGCTGCAGAACCCTCAATGCCAGGCACACAAAGAGCAGGTCCCATGGAGGTGCCTTGTGCCTGCTGCTGCAGTCAGTACCTGACACACAGATCCTTCTGGCTCAGGATCCGGACTCCTTCCTCATAAAGGGCTTTGTTTTCCTCCTTCAGCAGAGTGAGCTGCTCCGAAAGCTTCTGGTTCTCCTTCTGGCACTGGAGGTGCTGGAAAACATCGTTTGTGTTGGGTTAGATTAAACCTATTGCATCAGTTTCCAGGTGCAGATTCCACACTGGGATGCTCCCATTTTCCCCCCTTGGAGCTTGGTGGTGTGCTCTGGAGTCACCGCAGCATCCCCTTGGGTGATGAGGACCCATCCATGCTGCAGCTCACCTCGCTCGGGTCGGTTTTCCTCTCACTGTCCAGGACGTGCAGAGTCTTGGCCTGCAGCTCCACGTGCATCTTGGCCAGCGATGCCTCCTTCTCCTGGGAATGCCGGAGCTGCTGCTGCAGCATCTCCACCTGCTGCTCCGGGAGCTTCCTGAAGGGATGTTGGTGTGACACTGAGACACTGATGTGAGGCCAGCCCCTCATGTGCCAGCCTTAATGCACCATCACACTGCCCTGGGCAATACCAAGGGAAGGAAGAGATCAGCCCATCCTGGTTGTCCCCATGTCCCAGGGGTGCATGGGTGTGTGATCAGGGTTAGGGTTAGGGTTAGGGTTAGGGTTAGGTGAAGGTGTAGGGTAGGGTAGGGGAAGGGGTTAGGGTAGGGGAAGGTGTTGGGGTCGGAACTGGATGAGCTTTAAGGTCACTTCCAACCCAAACCATCCCATCATTGTATGTATGTGGGATCATCAGTCCCAGCTGCACAAGAAAGGGGACTGCTGGCATCCAGAGGACAAACCAAATCCCTGGGCTGGCAGGAAGGGCCACGCACCTTCTGGGGCAGCTGAAGGCTCCAGAAGTCTTTTAAATCCCCTGTGGAGCTCTGAGAGGCCAAAGGGAGAGACTGGGGGTACAACAAGTGATGCAGTGACTCCTTGAACCCACCTAGGGCCAGCCATGGGGCAGCAGGAGGTAGCAGCAAGCTGGCACAGCAGCACTTGGGGGGCACGCACAGCACGGGGCTCACCCAGCTCCAGGTACCTTTTCAGCTGCTCCTCATGGAGTTCTTGCTGCACACGAGCTTCATTTTCTCGGGCCTCCTTCAGTTCCTCCTCCAGGAGTTTCTTGTCTGAAACGTGGGCCTCTGCCAGCAGGAGCTGGTGCTGGGAATCCTTCAGCTTTTGCTGGAGTTTTGAGATCTTGGATTGAAATGGGACATGGATTAAACCTATTGAATGTGTTGGCCAGTATCTGAATCCAAGGGATTTAGCTCCCTCTGATCCCTCAGCATGACAGTCATGGGAATGACAGATTTGGCTTGCTTCTATTCCAAAGGAAGCACACACAGGGCTTGGAGCAAGCTGGTTGAGTGGAAGGTGTCCCTGCCTGTGACAGGGGGTTGGGACTGGGTGAGCTTTAAGGTCCCTTTAACCCAAATCACTCTGTGATTCTGTGTCTTCATATCAAAGCCCCTTCACAACAAAGCCTTTTGACCAGCTGCCAGATTTTGGCTCAGACACTGTGTTATGAATTAGCAACAACCCTTTTTGCACCTGATTTGCTCCTGCACACATCCAGTGATCAGTGCAGGAACATGGCAGAATCCATGCCATGGAAATCACAAGCTTTGCCATTTCACTTGCAGCACTGTGTGCAGTTCTGGTGTCCTCAATATAAAAAGGACATGGAGCTGTTGGAGCAAGTCCAGAGGAGGCCACGAGGATGCTCAGGGGCTGGAGCAGCTCCCATATGGAGATAGGCTGAGAACACTGGGGCTGTTCAGCCTGGAGAAGAGAAGCTGTGTGGAGACCTCAGAGCAGCTTCCAGTGCCTGAAGGGGGCTGCAAGGATGCTGGGGAGGGACTCTTCATCAGGGACTGGAGTGACAGGACAAGGGGTGATGGGTTCAGACTGAAACAGGGGAAGTTTAGATTGGAGATAAGGAGGAAATTCTTTCCTGTGAGGGTGGTGAGGCACTGGAATGGGTTGCCCAGGGAGGTTGTGAATGCTCCATCCCCGGCAGTGTTCAAGGCCAGGTTGGACAGAGCCTTGGGTGCCATGGTTTAGTGTGAGGTGTCCCTGCCCATGGCAGGGGCTTGGAACTGGATGATCTTAAGGCCCTTTCCAACCCTAACTGCTCTATGATTCTATGATAGCAAACAGCAGCAAATCTCCTCCCCAGGAGCATGCCCTGGAATCCCTGCGACCACCATTTCCAGAGACAGTGAGCTTTAGGGACAGGAGCTGAGCCCTCGGATTGGGATTCTATTGCTTTCAGTATGGTCCCACTAATAAGTCATATTTCCTAATACATTTAACCAAGCGATCCCAAAAGGGACCAGCAAAATGGACATCAGGGAACCAGTTCAGGAGCTGCTGTGTTAAACACAAACCTCCTGCTAACCCCGCTGAGCAGGTACCTTCTTTTGTGCTTCGCACACTTTGGATTTCTCCTGTGCAAGCTTCTCTTGCAGCCTGCTCTGCACTTTGTCAGCCTGGGAGCACTTCAAGAGCTCCTGTTCGAGTTCTTTGACCTTCTGCTGGCTTCTTTCCCACTGGGCAGTGAGAGCGGAGCATGTTTCTGTTGTGTCCAAGAGTTTTGCCTGGGCTTGCTTCAGCTCGGCTTTGACCTGAGTTCCAAAAGAAGAAACCAAGTTTGTGCTTCAACATAGAACATCTGAAATGCCTTGATTAGGAAAGGGGCAGCGGGATTAGCAGAGAGTGAATGAGAATAAAAGAGAAATGCAGGGAGCAAGTATAAGGGTTTATCTGGAGGGAATTTGGCATGGAGCTGGAGCAGAACACACTTGAGAACGCAGGTGCTTTACAGGTATAAATGAGGTCCGCTGCGTTGCAACCAACACTTCATCCCTCCCATAGCTTGTAGGATGCTGTGATGCTCCCCCCAGCACTTCATCCCTCCCATAGCTTGTAGGATGCTGTGATGCTCCCCCCAGCACTTCATCCCTCCCATAGCTTGTAGGATGCTGGGATGATCCCCCCAGCACTTCATCCCTCCCATAGCTTGTAGGATGCTGGGATGCTCACCCCAGCACTTCATCCCTCCCATAGCTTGTAGGATGCTGTAATGCTCCCCCAGCACTTCATCCCTCCCATAGCTTGTAGGATGCTGTGATGCTCCCCCCTGCACTTCATCCCTCCCATAGCTTGTAGGATGCTGTGATGCTCCCCCCAGCACTTCATCCCTCCCATAGCTTGTAGGATGCTGTGATGCTCCCCCCAGCACTTCATCCCTCCCATAGCTTGTAGGATGCTGGGATGCTCCCCCCAGCACTTCATCCCTCCCATAGCTTGTAGGATGCTGGGATGCTCCCCCCGGCACTTTATCCCTCCCATAGCTTGTAGGATGCTGGGATGCTCCCCCCAGCACTTCATCCCTCCCATAGCTTGTAGGATGCTGTGATGCTCCCCCCAGCACTTCATCCCTCCCATAGCTTGTAGGATGCTGGGATGCTCCCCCCAGCACTTCATCCCTCCCATAGCTTGTAGGATGCTGGGATGCTCCCCCCAGCACTTCATCCCTCCCATAGCTTGTAGGATGCTGTGATGCTCCCCCCCCAGCACTTCATCCCTCCCATAGCTTGTAGGATGCTGGGATGCTCCCCCCCTCCAGCAGCTCTCCCTGCTCTGTCCCTACCTTGGTGCATTCCTGTTGGAGCAAGAGGTTTTGCTTCTGGAAGTCGATGTTCTTCTCCCTCTCGTACCTCAGCTCCCTCTCGGCTGAGCTGCACAAGTTCTGGACGCGGCGCAGGTCCTGCCGGAGCTGCTGCAGCTTCTCCTCCTGCTGCTGGAGGCTCTCATGGGTCAGAGCCTGCAGGGGCAGCAGAACGACAGCAGTGACACAGACATTAACCTCAAGGAGAGATAAGGACTGGCTGCGTGGAGACCTCAGAGCAGCTTCCAGTGTCTGAAGGGGGCTATAGGGATGCTGGGGATGGACTCTTCATTAGGGACTGCAGTGATAGGACAAGGGGTAATGGGTTAAAACTGAAACAGGGGAAGTTTAGATTGGATATAAGGAGGAAGTTCTTTACTGTGAGGGTGGTGAGGCACTGGAATGGGTTGCCCAGGGAGGCTGTGAATGCTCCATCCCTGGCAGTGTTCAAGGCCAGCTTGGACAGAGCCTTGGGTGCCATGGTTTAGTGTGAGGTGTCCCTGCCCATGGCAGGGGGTTGGAACTGGATGATCTTAAGGTCCTTTCCAACCCAAACCATTCTATGATTCTATGAAGGAAGGTAGAAGTCTGGTAGTCGGGTGTAAGAGCATTTCAGTAAGATGGGTAAAGCCAGGCAAGCATCTCTTCTGCCCCACGCTATGCCCTGCTCCCTGCCTTCTCCATCCAGAGAAGCCAATACAACTCTTGACATCAAGGGAGAAGACCTAATAACCTAGATGAGGGAGCAGCTGTTAAAGCTACCCTGTCAAACCTGTAAAGCACCCAGCTTACTCTTCACTCTTGTGCCAGAGCCTCACTAAGCTCCAAGAGCAGCGGGATGAGTTCAAGCACTGGAGTGTAACAGCAGAAAGCCCCATGGAGGAGCAGGGAAGAGGAACAGCTTCTGCCCACAGCAAGAGCAAGACTGCAGTGAGAACAGCAAGCGGATTCCTCCCACTCCAAAAAGGGGCTGAGAAAGAGCTCCAGAAGGTTTAAAACATCCTTTAAGGATAACGTCCTTCTTTTATGTCTACATTTACTTTATCCAAGTTCTCAGTACATCCAAAACCACAACAGATGGAAACGACAGCACTCTTACTTTCCAAACCATTTTCCCCAAGGAAATCAGCCAGCCTCATCTCCCCCCATGTGCTGACACCATAGGACTGGCTTCCAGGCCACTTTAATGAGGTTTTGCCACTGAATTCAATGAAATAAAAGTACAGTGCAGATAGCAAAGCTGCTCATACCTGTTTAACGCTCCCATCTGAACTGCCCACAGAGCTCTGCAACACGGGAAACCCCTTCCCTCCCTGTGCCAAGCCTTGGTTCATCCTCAAGGTGTCTCCAAGCACGCTGTCTCCCTGCTCCTGGGTAGCCAGAACACCTTGGTTTAGCTGGGCAAGTTCTTCCAGTATCAACTGCTTGTCTTCATTGCTTTGCTTTTCTAGCTCCTTCCTCTTCTTGTTGCTGCCTGGTAACTCAGGACTCGAAGGAGAAATAACAGAGGAGAGAGAATTATGCACATCCAAGGGAAACCACCCCCCAAAGAGGAAAACTTGGAACAAGAGAGCCCAGTGAAACACTCAGGGCAACGTTCAAGTGTCTCGGGAGGCTCCAAAGGGGGTTTAATCCTAACAGCTCTGAGCAAGGGTCAATCTCCCCTGGATACTGACACACAAACCCCCCTGGGTCCAAGGGTCAGCTATGAGGAGCTTAACTGCTGGCTAAGGAGCTGCTGGCATGGGCCATGTGAGCTGGTCTGTGCATCACTCACACAGCACCGTGCTGCATGGAAGCATGGGCTCAAGCTGCCTGATGTATCTCAATCCAAGCTATGTGTTCTTGTAAGCTAACCTACCTGTCTTATCCTGGTTTTACCTTACCTCACTATCCAGGTAATGGAGCTGACAGTAACTACATGGATTTGAGCCAGGCTTCTACTTAGTAATGAGAGCCTGAGCATGGATGCTCCACCTCCAGATTTGTATTGATCTACTGAACAAGGAGAGTCAGGAGGCCTGCAAGAGCTCCATGATGGGAGCTCTTTGGGACTGTGGTAGTCCAAATACTCCCTCCCTCCCAGAGAAGGGGCCTCCTCCCTAAGGACAGCTCATTTATACCCTGCAGAATGTGGAAGAGCTGCAGAAAACAAGGTTTCCTCCTGACTGATCATGATGGGTGAGGTACAGGTGTCCCTGCCCATGGCAGGGGGTTGGCACTTGATGATGTTAAAGTCCCTTCCAACCCTAACTATTCTGTGATGGTACTAAGGGGAATGCTCATTCCCCAGAATCTCTACAGAGAGACCATTACCCAGTGAGGAAGACACGAAGCTGCTGTGCCCAGTTTAGCCAGAAGCAGCAGAATGGGGTTTTTAAAAGACTAAACCAGCAAAGATGAAGAGCAGAAGGTACCAGAGGCCTGGTTAGGGTTTACCAGAGCAGTTCTTGTTCATCCCTCGAGTTCCTGATCTGGTCTTCAGGTCTCTTTTCATCTGTACATAGATCTTCATGTCTCTGCTCGAGGTTTTCAATCTGTTCTTTTTCATGTAGGAGTTCAGAGCCCTGTAAGATCAGAGAACACCACGACTTGGACTTTCCTTGCTCTCATGGAAAGCTTTTGAGCAGCATAAGGTGATCTCCAAGACACAGCTTGTGAGTCTGTAGCTAAATTAGTGTATTCCTTTACCTGCAATGCCTTTGATTCCTAAAGCTTTCCCATCAATAGCTCTTCCTGGGTGTACACTAGCACTAATATTTCAGTTCCAGACCATGAGTTTACTTGTATTTGAGCAATGTCCATCAGCAGCTTCTGTCTGCATCAGACACTGGCTCAACATGGTGTTCTTTATGTTTCTCATCTCTATATCTACCAAAGCATTCTCCTTTTGTAGCTTCTCACAGGACACATTAATGAGAGCCTTGGGAAGTTATTACAATGGCCCCTAAACTCTCATTGTGAGTCTGGCAACCAACCCCTGGTGAGGAAACAACAGGAGTTAGTGGATGCAATACACTGCAAGCTCAGAAAAGGCTTTCTCCCTTCAAATGTCCACAACCCTGTTAAAAACAAGAGGGTTCCAAGCAAATGCAAAGAGCTCTCTGCATAGCATCAGTTCCCAGCACATCATTAACCTGTACAAGAGCAAATACATTATCCCACTTACTCGCCCGTTAGGTGTCAAACATGCTGCCAAACCCGGCATTGAACAGCCTCACAGCTTGACCTGCAGGAGTGCATCACCCATGACTTCACACCAAGCTGATTTGCAGCCCTGTTGGTAAATGATTCATCCCAATACAGCTGTTCTATCAAAAGGGAATGAGCACGGTTGTAAAGTCAGGCATCGCACCATCGTCTCTATTAAAGACTGTTACAGTCCAACAGAGGCCACTGGGTTTCATCTTGTGACCCCTGCAAAAGAATACTCCTCTCCTTAGGTGAAACCACAACCAACTGGTGCCTGAATTAGAACCACATTTACGGGGCTGTATGATTTTGATTGAAAGGCCCCTGTATCATGAGTAGCTTGACCTGTTTGGATGCAAATGCTGAAGAAGGACTCTTCCATTTCCCCCATCCCTCCCCAAATCAGCAATTCCTTTTCATGTGTATTCACAGACTGATCCAGCCCCTTCCCTTCAGCAAGGCTCCATCCACATCCTGAGCTTTTACAGTGTGAATTTGTTGCCTATCAGCACTGCAAGAGCCCTGTCCTCTAGATGCCACTGTTCCTCCAGTCAGACAGCCCAGGACTTCATTGGGTTCTACTTGCATACAAGGAAGTGATAGGGCTCACAGCTGGTTTAAGGCCTCTCAGACTGCTAAAAAGTGAGGTTTGTAATAGGTGTAACTCCCCTCCCTTTGCCAGCCCCCCCAGGTCCCCCTTGTCTGCCTGTCCCAGGCCATGCATCTGCAGCCCTCCTATAGTTTAACCCTAATTTTAAGCCCTGACCCTGCCTTTGCCAGCACCGGCCCCTGTGCAATGCTCTTGGCACCACACGCTCTCCCCTCTATGGCCCAACTGGAGCTCAAGAGCACCAGCAACAACCCCAGCAGAGAGAAACCCAGCAGAAATCCATGCAGCAGTTCCACTGCTTCAAGCAAAGTGTGCCTTTAGGGCATATAACAAAAAGGAGCACCGGGATCTCAAACTTTAGTGATGCTTTGGTGTCCTCACTTCTTGCCATGCTGTTAAGAAAGAATACTATTAATGTTAAAGGTGACCTGTGTTAAATAGATGCAGAATTAGCCAGTGGATGGAGCTCATCAATGGGAACCACGCTGCTGCTCTGCAGGGAAGTCTTGGCTTCAGTCTCCAAGCACCCTGCTGTGTTGTGACACAGGGAGGTGAAGGCTCCTCATCACGAGCCTTATGATCACAATAAATACCTAAGTCTGAAGCCTTCCCCTCTGCCCTTTAGAGAGGGTTTGGCTGCATTTGAATTAGTGTTTTGTTATTAGATTCACTGAAAGGAAAAATGAGTTACAGACGGATTTCAAGCTGTCTGCCAAGGAATCATAGAATGGTTTGGGTTGGAGAGGACATTAAGATCATCCACTTCCAAACCCCTGCCATAGGCAGGGAAAGAAGCTTTGAAACTGGCTGGACAAGGGAAATCCATCCAGCAAAGTCAAGCAATGCACTTGGGAGGAACTGGGGATGCTTCATGGAGTCACCCAAAGGTGACAGCCTCCTGCAGCAGTCCCAGTGCTGGAGCTGGACCTACCTGGCTGCCCAGCACCTTCTTCTCAGCCTTCAGATCTTCTCGTAAGAGTTCCAGTTCAGATGCCAGCTGCCTCCTGCGTTCTCTCCGCTCTCCCAGCTGACTCCCCAGCTTTTCTATTGTTTCCTGACAGCTTTTCAACATCTGGAACAAGGAAAAGGAGGTGCGAGTGCTTTATTCTGGCAGAAGACAAACAAATCCCAGTCTTCTGCAAAGCAAGGGCAGGAAAAACGGCTCTCAAAAGGTGCCAGCAGGATTCCTGTACTTTATTCCTTGGACATCCCTGAAGACCTGGATACATTGGGGAGCTCCTTTTACATATGCAACGAGCAATGCCTGGCAGATCCAATTGGCCAGGTGGTAAGTAATGAATCAGCAGCAAAGTCAGCCCCAAACCAAGTGGGAAACAGCCTCATAAACGTACCTATGTGCTACCCAGGCTGCAAGGACCAAGCACCTTTACCCATTCACCCTCCCCAGGGAAGCCAACAAGCTCCTCAGCCTGCAGGGCTGAAGGCAAGACAATCTCCTAAGAGAGATGAGTTATCAGAGATCACGTTAGGGTGTTATAAACTGTTTTCCTCCAAAAACACCCATTTCTCCTGCATGAGCTGATGGGCACCAAGCCCTCAGGAAATGGAGACAAAAACCCATTCACAGGAGATGCTCATGTAATGCATTTCTAAACAAAACTGTGTCTTTCCCAAGGAAAACCTCTTACCTCTTGCATCTCTTGCGCTCCGGACAACGCCTGCTCATCCCCATTCATCTCAGCTTTGTTCTTCTGCACTTGAAGTAACTCTGCTTCTAAACTTATAACCTTAACGTAGAGAAAACACAAGTTAAAACCAACCCAGCACTAAATGCACAACACTGCTGGATTGCTGCTTGTGCTGTATTGCGGAATAAGCCCCGTGTTTGGAAGCAAAGGGTGGGAGATGTGGACAGGCACCAGCTCCAGCTCACACCTTTCATCCTGCTGCTTCAAAAGGTGAGGGAGCCAACACAGCCAAGTCAGAAAATGAAAGCACCCTGCTGTATAGGAGGAGAGGAACAACCCAGACACACGGTGAAAGCTCAAGGCCTCTGTAGCTTGTGGCTGCTCTCCCAACACACAAGACCCGGATCTATATCATGGGCCACCCTCCTTCCCCATGCTGTTGCAGTGCCCACTCCCTCACAGTCTGACCTCATCCAGCAGGATTGTCCTGGTCCCTCCACTGCCCAAAGGATGCTGTAGGTCCTTCCACTGCCCAAAGGATGCTGTAGGTCCCTCCACTGCCCAAAGGATGCTGTAGGTACCTCCATCGCCCAAAGGATGCTGTAGGTCCCTCCATCGCCCAAAAGATGCTGTAGGTCCCTCCATCACCCAAAGGATGCTGTAGGTCCCTCCATCGCCCAAAGGATGCTGTAGGTCCCACTATCACCCAAAGGATGCTGTAGCTCCCTCCATCACCCAAAGGATGCTGTAGGTCCCTCCACTGCCCAAAGGATGCTGTAGGTCCCTCCATCACCCAAAGGATGCTGTAGCTCCCTCTATCACCCAAAGGATGCTGTAGGTCCCACTATCACCCAAAGGATGCTTTAGGTCCCACTATCACCCAAAGGATGCTGTAGGTCCCTCTGTCACCCAAAGGATGCTGTAGGTCCCTCTATCGCCCAAAGGATGCTGTATGTCCCTCCAGCATGGCTCCAAGGACTCTGCACTTGAGCTGGCCAACCCCTGACCTCTGTGCTTGCCTGCATCTGAACACACCCACACCCACACCCAGGCATTCCCTTGTGGATTGATTATTACTCCTGTTTTAAAGGCCTGGATGGAGCAAGGAGCAGCCCAGCTTCCCCTCCCTGCCAGGCCTCCTGCAGACCCTTTTATAAGAGCCAAGTGTTGGCACTGGCAGCTCCAGTGTCAGCCAGCACGGCATTCCACAGCCTTTCCACTCCTTATGCTGGGAAGAAAGTTTGTGCTGGTTTTCTTGTGTATAAACCACCCAGCTGGGGTTTCACTGGAGGAGGATGGGGACACTGGAAGGAGACAAAATCCAGCTGGAGATGGAATCCAGCTTCATCCATACATAACACACTGGACCTATACAAGCAGCATCGATCCCTACACTCACACAGATGAGTGTGTGGTGAAGCGTGCAAGATGCCTTATGCCTTTCTCACCCTCCTTTCTTTTCACGTATTCAGAGATCATCTTTCATCCCTTCCCAATGGGAAGCTGAAGCCGAGGAAATGCCGACTCCCTGCCAATCCCAGCCCGATTCCAGCCGTCCCAGCGCTGGGAGCTTTGCTTTCACCGACAGGCTTCAGGCACAAGATGGCTCTGTTGAAGCTCACAGGAGGGAACCATCCACACTGGGAAAGCTGCTCTCACTCTTAGATGCTGTTACCCAAGCTAGGTACTAAAAGCAAATCAGTGGGTGAAACACCCAGACCACTTACACAAGAGCCAGAGGGCAATAACCCCCCTCCTCTTGCATGACTAGGTGATAGTTTGGGGTTCAGCAAGGCTTGGGAGCTCTAGAAGGGCTCTTGAAGGCAAAATGCACCTCCCCAGGCACCCTTTGGCCACGCAGTTGATACCCAGCCATGCGTTCCCATCATTTGGCTCATTATTCCTCCAAGCCACTAACTTTTAAGTTGCCTTTAAGCCTCCTGCCAACAGCCGAACAATGCTCCCATTGTATCCCCGTGTCCTGCTTCTGAGCCAGTGGCCTCATCACCCACATTCTTGTAGGTGTGCCAGCAAAACAGAAACCACTTCCAAGTGTTTCTCCCATGGGGGGAGCTGGCAAACACCCAGCAGCACCGCTTCATCTGCACTCCTGAGTCCCTGCATCCATGCAAGTCCTGCCCTCCTTGCCCCCAAGGCACCCAAAAGCCCCTTGGGGATGAAGGGTGCAGCTCTGCATCATCACCAAGGGTTAACCCACCTCTTCCATCCCACTCCCTGCTTGCCTCCTTCTGTCTCCTTTACAGCTACAGCGCCTGCCAAGCCCCTGCCAGCATCTCCTTGACTACCTGGGGTTCCCCACTGCATCCTTCAGTGTGGTGTTCCCAGGGATCTGTTTAACCCTGAGCAAAGAAGGGTTTCTCCAGGCTGGAAATGCACCTTGTGAGGGCTGGGGTTATTCTGCTTCGAGGCTTTAGTATGTGCTGAACCAAGGTGGGTTTCAACCAAAGCACAAGTCATGGTGAACAGAGATTTGGCCGTTCCCATCGCAGAGCCTGCCCTTGGCTCCTCTGCTACACACTTAGAAGCACAATGTCTGGTGGCATCCTTCGTTAAGGTATCTGACCATGCAACAGTGCCTTGTTTCACTGTTATTTAGAGACTGACACGGAATCCATGGCATCTTCCTTTGAGCAATTGACCTTGGAGATGTGTGGCTGTGTCAGCGTTCACGTGGGATGTGCCTTCACACTTGTACTGTCTCCTACATCACGTTTTAACACAATAGCAGAGGGACAGACCCATCTTGAGTACTGCTTATCCCTGACCGACAACCTGTGTGTGTCCTTCCTTCTCACCCCAGAATCCAAGGTCCTCTATGGGCACTATGGACTGCTCCTGCTGCCTGGCAATCCAGGACCATGGCCACTGCAGAGAGCATCTCCTAGCCACAAACAGAGTGGGGACAACTCAGCCCAAGGAAGGAAGGAAGGGCTTTAGGCCTGGCAGCAGGGATTCCTCAGCCAGCCTTCTTGGGGAGAAGCCCACCCACCCATCCAGCAAGACCAACCTGTGGCTTCCTCTGTTCTCTCCAGCTACAACTCCATCAGCTGCCCTGTCTGGAAGGGATCATGCACCCTGGTAGTGATGTTGCAAATGGTGTTTTCCCTGGGGACAAGCAGTGACAAACCAGGTGCTCCTCACAGAGCTGCCTCCTCACTAGACTGAGGCTAAAGACCATGCTGGCAAAGGCAGCATCAGGCTGAGAAGCTCCAGTGATAACTTAATCCTTGCTCAAAGCATGGATGGAGGTGGCTCTGCAGGGGCTGTAAGGAGACATCTAAAGGGCCATGGTTCTGGTAAACCAGAGGATCAACCTGGAGCTTCCCATCTGCCGTTAACCAGAGGTTCCCTGACACGTGCAAATGAGTGCAAATAACAAAGACTTTCTATCGACCTCCTAAAGTCAAAGGAGGAGTGGAGTGGAGTTGTCCCATCACCAGGAATAGATCCAGATCGCCCTGGGGTGAGGGTGCCCAAAATCAAGTGGGTCACGGGTTAGGAAGAGAGTGGTGAGACCAAATCTTGATCAAGATTGAGCAGAGCATCTCCAGATGGACCAGCTTACCACAGCTCTTCAAATAGACGTCTCCAGCATGGCCCCATTCAACAGCAGATGCTGCACCAGGACACTGCAGGTGACGAGGGAAACTGTCCCTTCAAGTGTGTTACCCCATGCAGCGCAGGTCCCACAGGTGGTGCTCAGCACATGGGCTGCCCCATATCTGAGATGCTGTGCTCAGGGCAGAGCCACAAGTGCAGTGGTTTGTCCCCAGCAAGCATCACTGGTGGCCTTGCCTGGGGTTGGGGAGCATCAGTGCCCCACAGTGACCGCTTTCCTGTTGGACAGGTCTGGAGAAGGGGTAGGGATCCGAGTCAAAGCCTGGACTTCTGCATGGGTGCCAGGTTAAGGGACAGCTCATGGGCTCTGGGGACATCTCTTGCCTCTCTTTGAGCCTCCAGAGGATGTGGGGTTTCCTGGGACTTGCTTATCAGCAGGAATTGCAGTATCTGAAGGGGGGCTATAGGGATGCTGGAGATGGACTCTTCATTAGGGACTGCAGTGATAGGACAAGGGGTAATGGGTTAAAACTGAAACAGGGGAAGTTTAGATTGGATATAAGGAGGAAATTCTCTACTGTGAGGGTGGTGAGGCACTGGAATGGGTTGCCCAGGGAGGCTGTGAATGCTCCATCCCTGGCAGTGTTCAAGGCCAGGTTGGACAGAGCCTTGGGTGCCATGGTTTAGTGTGAGGTGTCCCTGCCCATGGCAGGGGGTTGGAACTGGATGATCTTAAGGTCCTTTCCAACCCAAACCATTCTCTGATTCTATAACTGCAGGCAAAAGAAACAACCATCCAGCATGGGAAAGCAGGAGACCAACGCTGAGGTCCATCGGGAGCACTGATTCCATCTAGGACAACCTCAGGGGAAATAAGAGCTTCTGAGCTACAAGAGGTTCAGAAGAAATAGCTCCAAGAGAAATGATGTGACCTGGATTTGAAACAAGAAGCGTTGCTGCAGCTCAGCCAAGCCACAGATGGGTGCAGAGCCCCATGGAAGGGCTGTGCAGGATGGGAGCACGGCCTCAGCTCGCTGCTGGGGATGCAGGAGGAGCGTTAGTGCATCAGCTCTGCTTGCCTGAGCACCAAGGAGGAGGGACAGGAGCTGGAGAAGACAATGGTGCTGTAACACAGGGGATCCACACCTCCAAGCACGCATCATTTACTCACTGCTGGAATCCCTTCCTCCTTTCCCCATCTTTTCCAAAGCAGACAGGTTTTGCTGCTGTCTCTTGGCAAACAGCACGTTTGGGTCAAAGGTTTTCTCTGACCTATCAATACACAGAGAGAAAAACAGCTGCAATGAACAAACCCAAACCTTCCTCCTTCCATTCCTCACTTACTTGCTGTTGAAGTCCCTCCACCTCGACCTCAAAGTGTTCCTTCTCCTGCTTGCTTTGGATCCGTGTCTCTCCCGGAGTCGATTCCAGATCTTCACTGCACTCAACCAAAGCCTTGTGCTCCTGCTCCAGTTTATGCAGCTTGGGAAGGAGCTGTGAATCAATGCTGTTCTCAATCACCTCCCAGCACCTATGCATCAAAACCCCACATCACCAAGGCTGGGACTGCAATGTGGACGCGTTGACATGCATCCAGACCTCCTACCACTGGCCAGGAAAGGCCAAAGTGCTTTTCACTATGGGAGATCCCTGTCCTGCTAATGTCAGGTCTCACATCCAGCACAACCCTGTGCCTGCTCTTATTTCAGTGGTGATGAATAGGAAGCAGCAGTGATGGGCTCCATGCAGGTAATGATGGTTTGAGGAGAAACGGGGTCAGGCAGGAGGGTGCTGCCAGCAGAGGGGCAATGGCAGATTCAGCTGCTTGAGGTGGGGAAACAGTTTGGCATCTGAAGGGAAAAAGGGTCAGAGGGATGGGATCAGCTCCTCTTTCCTCCTTGAACCTGCTGCAAGAGGCACAGCTGCTTCCTGCCCAGGCCATGGGAGAACAAAGCTTCGGCTTCCCTTAGGAATCCCAGTTTATGTACTGAAGGTTGAAAGCCAAGGGCTTTGCTACACCCCTGGACAGCAACCAAAGCCACAGGAACCTCCCCAGCAGCCAAACAGTTGTGAAATCAGCGCCTTTGCCTGCAGAGAGCCCCAGAAGGTCAAGCCTGTGCTTTTGGGAAGGCAACAGATGGGAGAAAGCATCAGAAAGCAGCCGGCATCCGTGATGCTGAGGGCTCCAGACCCAGCCAGCACTGCAGGACCTCCAAGCTTTCTGATCTGGGAGCAGAGGAATAAAGTACCAAAGAGCATCCTAAAGAAGCCAATAGATAAGTTCACCCTGTGAGACAGAACACTGGCAACCAGAGAGCCAAGAGGAGCCACAGTGAGAGCACAACGGATAAAGGATCCCTACATTGCTCACCTTCTATGCAGTGCTTCACTATCCTGATACCCATCTTCTTCATCCGAGCCAGCTTTGCTTGGAACACAGTCTCCTTCACCCCTCCCTTCATCCTTTGTGCCCTGTGTCTTGAGGGGGAATGAGGAGTTAGCACAAACTTAGGCTGAACTCAGCACAGTGACATTGCAAACCTGCCCGCTTCTCTCATAAATAAACCAGACAGACAGAAATCATGAGCTACATCATCCTCATTCACCTGCATTAGATAACCCATAGAAGCAAAATCCTCCCATGACTCTTAGTAATATGAAGGCACTGGTTGGTATCAGCTCATGCCAACGGACTCTACACAACCATGTATTCTCACACCCGGCATAAATCCTGTGTCACACCTGCACAGGATGCACTCCTGCATTGACAGGAAGGGAAAACCAAGTGCTCCTGCACCACCAACTGTGCGTCTTCATAGAATCCCAGACTGGTTTGGGTTGGAAGGGACCTTAAAGCTCATCCAGTTCCAACCCCTGCCACAGACAGGGACCCCTTCCACTGGAGCAGCTTGCTCCAAGCCCCTGTGTCCAACCTGGCCTTGAGCACTGCCAGGGATGGGGCAGCCACAGCTTTCTTGGGCAACCCATTCCAGTGCCTCACCACCTTCACTATAAAGAACTCTTCCCTTATCTCCAACCTGAACTTCCCCTGTTTCAGTCTGAACCCATTACCCCTTGTCCTATCACTACAGTCCCTAATGAAGAGTCCCTCTCCAGCATCCTTGCAGCCCCCTTCAGACACTGGAAGCTGCTCTGAGGTCTCCACGCAGCTTCTCTTCTCCAGGCTGAACAGCCCCAGTGTTCTCACCCTGTCTCCATACAGGAGCTGCTCCAGCCCCTGAGCATCCCCATGGCCTCCTCTGGCCTTGCTCCAGCAGCTCCATGTTTGGAGCTAACCCTGTTTGCTCACTTTGCTTTCCAGAACGGCAATCAAAAAGCCCTAGAAAATACCTGCAGTGAGGGCACAGTGACTCCTTCAGCCTCGGCTGGCGCAGGCACTCCTTGCTTCTCCCTCTTCTGGTACTCAGAGATCTCCTCTTTGAGCTGTTCAACCTTCCAAAGGAAAACACTTGGGTTTACTTCTGGTGAGCGCTCATCTCGGCGCCTTAGAGAGTGAAGAGGAACTGAAACAGGGCTCTAAGGAACAAAGGTGATCTGCTTTCAGCTCAAGAACGTGGTTGGATGGAGGTGATCTCAGCCTGGCTGAGAAAGCAAAACCTCACAGGTATCTTCTGGGTGTATCTGGTTCTCTTTCTGTATATACAAGCATTTAGGGACACACACACGTGTATGGACACACAGGGACTGAAAGCAGCCATGGCCTAACACAAGGAAAACGTTACTTGGAATAAAGCAAACCAGGATGCAAGCCAAGGAATGTGACCTCAATGACAGGCTGTAGGTTTAGAGACTGCCCTGTAGATACAAGGTTGGAGATCACAGATATGCCCGGATGCTATGGAAGGACCAGCAGCTTTCTTAAACACAAGGAACAGAATGAGGTGCAAACACTTTAAACCCCTCAAATGTGAATAAATTCAATTGAAAACAACTCTTTGATACGATGTGAGCTGTTCTCAGAGATACTCCATGTAAAAACACTCCTTTGAATCCAAGAGAACTGCAGGACTGAGCTTTCTGCTGGGATGGTGCAAGCAATTACGGTGCTGGCAACCAAATACCAGCTGCTGAAGGACTCACATAAAGAATTTAAGAGCAGAATTTGCCTCAAATGGCCCATTTGAATGGGAAACAGCCTGCAATTCATTCACTAGGGAAGGAATATCAGTAGTGATATTGCTATCACTATTGGAAGGAACTCCAATAGTGCAGGAAGGAGCTATCTTACTGATAATAAAGAAGGATCTTCCTGATAGTAAGGGAGGAGCTATCTTAGTGATAAGGATTATTGCATTTAGAGAATCAGTGTCTAACTGATGGCAATGCAATAGGAATTCACTTAAAGGAAGCCCACATGAAATGAAAAGAGATGCTTCTTTCCTACTGAGCAAATCAACATAGCCACATTAAACAGCCAAAGAGGCTGAGAGAGCAGGAGCATACACTTGAACCTGGTTTAAACCAGCCATTATTGAGGTTTAGACCAAACTTACTGCTTTTAATAGCAGGGCCCATGAAAAGGTGGAAGTGTTGCTTACTCTGCTGAGCCACTTGATTGAGTGCAAACTGGCTGGTAACAGAAAGCATCCAGCTGATCCCATGCATTGGGCATAGGAAAATGGGTATTCCAGGGCCTGTGGGGGGGTCAGATGGAGAGGAGAAGGCTCAGGGGGGACCTGATGGCTGCCTCCAACTGCCTGACAGGAGGATGGAACCAGGAGGGGCTGGGCTCTGCTCCCAAGGAACAAGGGATGGGACAAGAGGAACCGGCCTCAAGCTGCACCAGGGCAGGGTTAGATGGAGCTGAGGAACAATTCCTGCCCCAGAGGGTGCTCAGGCATTGGAACAGGCTGCCCAGGGCAGGGCTGCAGGCACCATCCCTGCAACTGCTCACACACCCTTAGTGCCATGGGGCAGTGGTGGGAATGGTTGGATTGGATGAGCTGAAAGGTGTTTCCCAGCCCATCTGATTCCATGGCTCCGTGGTGCAGGCGCAGAGCAGAGCTCCAGCACCAGGAGCAGGCACTCACCAGATGGATGAACGCTTTCCTTTCCAAGTCGAGTGTCTGGGCTCGTGCTCTCAGTGCCAGGATCCTCCTGTCCACTCTGCTGCTGTGCTCCATGGCCCTGCCTGTACAGAACAGAACAATGGGGTCACCATCACCAGCGTGGACCTTGCCCTCCACCAAGCTCAGAGCGGGGTTAACACAAGGGTAAGGTTTCTGAAGTGGCATTGCCCTCATGTACGTGTGTGACAGCACAGAGGGGATTGCATCTCCTCACTCACACACCAAAGGTTTGTGAAGATCCAGCTTCAATAGCAGTGCTCTGCTTATGCTAGGAGCACAGCAGCCTCTCCATAGTTATTCCAAGGATTCAGTTTACCCCTAGCTCATGGAATACGCCTCACCTCTGATGTGTAGGCATGGGTTTCACAAGCTGGGAAGAACCCACTGCCATATTCCTTACTTTCATCATCACATTCAAGAGCCAAGCAGTGAATGGATTGGTGTTTATGAGATGGCCAGTACAATAAAAACAACGGTGTGCATCAGCCCTTCAAACCTAACTCGATGCAACCATCACCCTGATTGCCACAGGTTCTTTGGTAGTTCAAGTGCAAGAAATGGGAAAAGATGTTTGCATTAGGAGCACGTTGACAGAAACACAGAATCATAGAATGGTTTGGGTTGGAAAGGGCCTTAAGATCATCCAGTTCCAACCCCCTGCCATGGGCAGGGACACCTCACACTAAACCATGGCACCCAAGGCTCTGTCCATCCTGGCCTTGAACACTGCCAGGGATGGAGCATTCACAACCTCCCTGGGCAACCCATTCCAGTGCCTCACCACCCTCACAGTAAAGAACTTCCTCCTTATATCCAATCTAAACTTCCCCTGTTTCAGTTTGAACCCATTACCCCTTGTCCCATCACTGCAGTCCCTAATGAAGAGTCCCTCCCCAGCATCCCTATAGCCTCCTTCAGACACTGGAAGGCTGCTATGAGGTATCCACAGCCGCTTCTCCAGACATGTCCAAGTAGACCTGGTATCCTAAGGAGAACTAGGGAGAAGACAGCTTTCCTCACAGAAAAGCAGAGGGTTTTTCCCCTTTCAGCTCTACATTGGGCACAGCAAAATTCAGCTTAAATTCGACTTTTATTCAAGCAAAAATAAACCCACATCTTTGTTGGTCCCAATCCAGCAAAAAAGCCTCAACCAAGCAACCAGAAACCCCCAACTCCAACGCCCTGTTTCAAACAAGGGGCTAGATACTGGATTTAAAATCAAAGGCAAGGATCTACCAAAGTGATGGTTGGGCTAAAATGCCCATGTACCACTATGGAAAGCCTTGATAAAACTCTGCTTGTGAATAGGTGACTTAACTGCTCCCTCTCCATCCGCGCATCCCTTCTTCCCGGCTCTCAGGTGCTTGATTCTATAGGGATAACACAGAGACATGATTCTATAGGGATAACACAGAGATGGGTTTGCTGTGGCTGTTTCTGAACACTGAACCCTGCCACCTCTTTAAATGCACTTTAAGTGCAGAATTGAAGGAAAACTAGATAAAACAAGCCAAAACAGCAGCCAGCAATGGGAAATCTCTCATCACCAATGACCCAAACCAGGAGCAAGCCTGTGTTTCAGTGCAAGCAAGCAGCATTGAACCAGAATACCCTCTTTAAGCAGAGTTTGACTGAAGACAGGAGATTTCCTCTTAGGTTTGTATTAGAAAATGGGTTTGTTTGCAGAGCAGCCGGCTCTGAAGCTGCTCAGGAGGAGAAGGCATGCAGATACACATCATTAGGGAGGCCAATAAGAGGTTACAGCACTAATTCTGCACACTAACACTCGCAGCATAATAAACCACAGAGACCCTTACTCACGGTTTGGGAAGCCTTCTATTCACTTGATACTCCAGGAGATTATAAAACACACATTTCCCCATGCAGGCTATGCTGCACTGAGAAGAACAACACGCTGCAGCCCATCTGTGATGCAGGGAAGCAGCAGCTTGGAGGCTGCTTCTCACTGGCTCCATCCCCAGGGACACGTGTGGATCAATCCATCCCCAAAGCAGATGCCCACAGAGTGCTCATTGCCCTGCCTTTGATTAAAAGGCTGCAAACGATGGGTTTGAGGCTGGTAAGGGCTGAGTGTGGTGTGTGAGCTGCGAGCTCAGCATCAGGACCTGCCATTCACACAAACCCGACCCCTGGGTACCAGTCTCCTTATGTGAGCTGGTTTCTCAGGGGCCAGACCGTGTTCCTTCATCCCATTCTGTTCACTGAAGCTGTGCATCACGGATGGGGGGGACAATGCAAGTAACACAGAGGAAAAGCAACCAGGAACCAGTGGATTGCTTGGGGAGTCTCCTGTAGGAGACAGCAGCGAAGCACCCGGCTTTAGGCACTGCTCCAATGGGGGCTTTATGAAGCAGTTTGATTTCCCTCCTGAAAGCCCTTTATTTGCACAGTCAGTATTTAGAAGCAAAGTGCAATACTTCAAGGCTGCTCTGCCCCACTCACTTCAACGGGAGGTTAAGCAAATATGAGCAGTGATAAGAATCTACCCAGTCACTTCAGGACTGCTGCTAAGCCCAGCGGTGAGCCCTTGATAATGGCTCTTAACAGGGCTGCATCCCGAATGGGGCATCTGAAGAGGCTCCAGATGAGCGGTCCAGCTGGGCTAACACTGCCTAAGTGGTGGTTTAGCTATTCTCCTCATGGACCAAGCCATCATTTCCTCTCCTAGGGCATGAGGAAGTCAGTCAAGACCCTGCTGCTGTAATCATGGATCTGATGCCACTCAGAACTGGTGTGTGACTAATGCATTCAGATCTCATAGGCACCAGGCTAACATCACAAGCAGAAAGGACACAGGACAGGCTGCCTCCAACTCCCCTGCATGAGAATCATAGCATCAACTGGGCTGGAAAAGACCTTTAAGATCATCAAGTCCAAGGCTTACACTAATCAGGCCTCTGTGTGGCCTCATCTAGACCCTCTTCAGCTCTTAAATGTGATGCTTGTCGCTTTTCCAGCTCATCCCTATGGAACTGAAACACAAGGGCTAACGTTCCAACACAAATGGGATTGTATTGCAACCAATTCTGTATTGTATTGACCCAGTATTGTGACCAAGCTGCTCCTGACACACCAGAGTGGCGACACAAAGCAGCTCAAGGAAGCTACTGCAGATGCAGAAGCAGACAGTGGATAACCCTCTTCCCTATGGATGCGTGTCACAAAGCTATTTCCATACACAGGGCTCTGGTTTCCCCACCTTGAGACTATGCCATTGATTACAATGCATCCTCAAACACGTTATACATGAGGGATTCTACCCAAACTATTCTATGATGCTCTGATTCCAAGCAGAGTTTGCTCCAAGGACAAGTCAATTGGGCGCGTTTGTGGTCCTGTTGGAGCCATGGTTGGGAGCCATTCCTGAACACTTGATCCCATAGGGCAGGAGGAAGACTCTGCTCCCATTGACCTGTGCTGCCCATTGCAGCTGACACAGCAAGAGCTATTTCCCACCTCCTTGACTTTAGGCCACTCATCTCCACTGATGTTTCTTTGCCATTCTCACTGTGAGTGCTCACAGCCCTGACCCAAAGCTGATGCGATCTCAACCCTGGCTCTCAGCAGAAGCAAGGGGCTCATGCACAGCACCAGGCTGATGGGGTTGCAGAGCCTGAAGTTCAGAGCTAAAACCTATTGGGGAACCCCTCGCAGTGTGCTTAAGAACAGCCCCACAGCTCAAATCTCAGCTGTAATAAATCACTGCCATCAGAAAGCGTGGGGCCACGCATCCCTCAACACCACTGTGTGGGGTTTTCAGTCCCAATGCACCTCCACAAGCAAGGGGGGGGGTTGTACCATACCTTATATTGGAAGGGGATGGTCTAACCCAGAGTTATCCCAAATCCTTGTGGAAATCCCTCAGTTGCCTCAGCTACAACTGGGAATTCTCAGCTTCAAGTGAGAACTCTTTGGGTCTGCGACCTCCTTGGTGTCTTTTAGAGGCTGTGGGCTCAGCTTTGCCCAAAGAGATGCATTGGAGATGACTCCCTTGACTCCTGGATTACTTCCCCATGTCCCTCCCTTTAGATCCATGTACAAGTTCACAGATCCCTGCTCCCCTGCAGCCTGCACGCAGGAACCAGCATCAAGCCCTTGCTAACGCTCAGTGTGTTGGTTAGTTAACACTTGGCACCTTGGCCCTAGGGAATCCCCAGTTTTGGATGAGAGCTCCCAGTTGCGACCGCAGGATTTTCACCTGGATAACACTGGTTTAAACATCCCCTTCCGAGATGCAGTCTGACACAAACACCCTGTTAGTGGAGATGCACTGACACTGAAAATCCCCCAAGGGCTTTCTGGTGGTGCAAGGAGGTGCTGAGACTCCTGCTAAAGCCCAGGGAGCATCTCCCCATGTACCTATTAGAGACAAGCCTCACACACGTCTGTGCCTTCTCTCTTTGCATTAGTGGGGATGCATCAGAACAACCCCTCACGCTTGAGTGGTCCAGCTAAAAGCTGCATTCACTCTGCAGCAGCCAGGAATGTGGTCCTGGAGTGCACCATGGCCAGAGCAGGTCATTTTGGAACAAGAAAGGCTGCACGTCCCAGTACACAGAGCAACAAGAGCAATGAACCCATTAATTACCCTGGGGCACTGCGGGGGCTCTGGTGGTTCTGTAAAACAAGGGGGATGCTCCCCCAAACAATGGATGCTCAACCAACAGTTTCTAGTTCACAAGCATGGAGCAATGACTTCATCTGGGTGGCATAAAGAGCCTTCTTTGGGATGAAAACCACATAGAATCATAGAATAGAATCATAGAGGAGTTTGGGTTGGAAAGGACCTTAAGATCATCCAGTTCCAACCCCCTGCCATGGGCAGGGACACCTCACACTAAACCATGGCACCCAAGGCTCTGTCCAACCTGGCCTTGAACACTGCCAGGGATGGGGCATTCACAACCTCCCTGGGCAACCCATTGCAGTGCCTCACCACCCTCACAGTAGAGAATTTCCTCCTTATATCCAATCTAAACATCCCCTGTTTCAGTTTTAACCCATTACCCCTTGTCCTGTCACTGCAGTCCCTA